CTGACTGACAAGGCTGGAGCATGGCACCAGCCATCGACAGGACCAGAGCCATCTCAGTGAGTCAGTGAGTACCTCTACACCATGATTTGTCAACGCTCACATAGACAGTGGTAAAGGAATCAAGAAGCCTGGGTTTTGGAACAGCGCAAACATTCTTTACCTAGTATGCAGTAATCAAAGTTCTTACCTAGGGTACAGTGTGAAAAGACAGGTAATGAGATCCCCATACACCACGGCTGAGAATACTTAGTCTAACTTTAAAGCAGTACAAAGTGGCTTCTTCTTCTTTTTTTTTTTTTTTTTTTTTTTTTTGGGACAGAGTTTCGCTCTCGTTACCCAGGCTGGAGTGCAATGGCGCGATCTCGGCTCACCGCAACCTCCGCCTCCTGGGTTCAGGCAATTCTCCTACCTCAGCCTCCTGAGTAGCTGGGATTACAGGCACGTGCCACCATGCCCAGCTATTTTTTTTTTTTGTATTTTTAGTAGAGATGGGGTTTCACCATGTTGACCAGGATGGTCTCGATCTCTCGGCCTCGTGATCCACCTGCCTCGGCCTCCCAAAGTGCTGGGATTACAGGCTTGAGCCACCGCGCCCAGCCGCCAAAAGTGGCTTCTTCTACACAGCAAGGGCAAGCTTTGTACTAACGTTTCTCAAAAACGAACTAGGTCTCCAGCTCTAGCCTCAATTTAACAGATTTTTAATTTTATTTATCTATTTATTTTTAGTCTGGTTTTGTTGCCCAGGCTGGAGTACAGTGGTTCAATCTAGGCTCCCTGCAACCTCCGCCCTCCAGTTTTGAGCAATTCTCCTGTCTCAGCCTCCTGAGTAGCTGGGACTATAGGTGCTGGCCACCATGCCCATCTAATTTTTGTATTTTTAGTGGAGATGGGGTTTCACCATATTGGTCAGGATGGTTTCGAATTGCTGACCTCAGGTGATCCACCCACCTTGGCCTCCCAAAGTGTTGGGATTACAGGCATGAGCCACTGCACCCAGCCAATTAACAATTTTTTAAAAAATACCTTTCCTACGTCAGAGCCAAGGCAAAAGGAGAGTGGGTACAAGAAGCCCTCTTTACCAGAATCCCTAGAAAGAAAGAACTCTAGAAGCCAGTGGGTGTGAGCACATTCAAGTCACGGGGTTTGAGATTATGGGTCCATGGTGGCTGTTTCTTCCCTTCCATCACTGGGATGTCCATCTTTGGCAGCTTCAAGGCTGCTGGATCTTCAGCTATTTGGTTGGCCTGGGCACAGATCAGTTCCATGAGGGGCTTCTGGGCTCCTCAGTAGGTCTGGATGCAAAACTTCTGGAATCACACTTCTAAAGGGATCTCAGTCCAAAGAGGCTCCACTTATCTGACAAGTTTCTGTCCTTATCCCCACTTCCAGAATCCATGGTGCTAGGATTTGGGCCGGGCAAGGCTGTGGAAGAACCAGAAGTGAACCAGCCTCTGGGCCTCCGCTTAGGGAAAGAGTGAGGAGTGGTGCTTGGGGTAGACTGGGTTGAGGCAGGCTGCCTCTCTTCTTTTGTTGCCTCTCCACCCTGTAGTTTTAGTTTGCCACTCAAAGATACTTGGTCTCCTCGGTGATGAGGCCCTTGTGGGGTATGTAGCCAGCATCTCTCAGCCCTGCCTGTCGCCTAAAATGCTGAATTCCTTCTGGGGTCTGTTTTGTGATCAGAGAATTCATGATGACATGGGTAACTTTAGTATTCACCACTGGGACCTTGTCCACACTGTCACTGGCCGATGACAGGGTCATGGCAGGGGAAAGTAGACTGGCCTCTCCTTCCTCCACCTTGCCAAAGTGCTGATACTCGCGCTCTGGAATCACTGGCTTCCAGGTTATGCAGCCCACGTCTAATGGCTGAGGAGTCATGGGTGCAGGGTCCTCGAGGGCATCATTACAGCTGAATGCCTAGTGGTATATCCCAATGGGCAGGGATATCTTGCCAGAGGCCCACTAGCCTTAAGAGTACAGCGAAATGAGGTGATGATTAAGCTGACACAGATGTTAATAAGGAACATGGTCTAGCTGCTGCAAATTGGCAAAGCTTCCCAGGAAGAGTCCATCTAGAGGTTCTGTTATCCTGCTGCCACAGGGTTGCCTGCAGCTCAGAGTCCAGCACTAAAGAGGTTCCAAGGGCCCATGTCTCCCGAGAGGCTGTAGTGCAGTCTGGACCCGAGCCATGGTGACAGCAGCGGCAGCAACAAAGGTCTTCAGGACATACCAGGCAACACTGCCCCTCCCTCAGTTTTTAGAGACAATTTTGTCATAGGTAGGATTCTTAAGTGGCAGGATATTTTTTCCTATTTAAATATATCATCTGACTTTCCAAGTTTTCTGCTGAGAATTTCACTGATAATCCTATTGTGAATCCCTTATACATTACAAGCCACTTTACTCTTACTGCTTTCAAGAGTCTCTCTCTGTCATTTCCTTTTGACAGTTTGATTATAATGTGCTTCTGTGTGGGTTTCTTTTGTTTTATCCTACTTGGAGTTCTTTGAGTTTCTTTAACTTATAGATCCATGCCTTTCCTAAAATTTGGGAAGAATTTTTGTAATTATTTTTTCAAATAATCTCTCTCTCTTCTCCCTCTGGAACTCCCAAAAAGGGGACCACATGATCCACCTGAAGGTGTCCCATAGTCCTTTAAACTCTGTTCACTTTTAAAATTCTTTCTCCTTAGATAATAACTTCAAATGTCATTACTTCAAGTTCACTGATTCTTTCCTCTGCCTGTTGTAATCTACTGCTGAATTCTTTGGGTAAATTTTCAGTTCAGTTACTGTATTTTTCAGCTCCAAAATCTTTTTGGTTCCTTTTTACAATTTCTTTTTGTTGATATTCTCATTTCATTCACATATCATTTTCTTGATTTCCTTTAGTTCTTTGTGTTTTCCTTTAGCTCTCTGAGCTTAAGACAGTTTTTTTTAAATGTTTTGTCTATTTTTTATACCACTATACCTGAAGCCTGTGTTTGTTCAGAGATTACTTCTGCCATTTTATTTTCTTCCTGTAAGTGGGCCATATTTTCTTTGTATGCCTTATGATTTTTTGGTGAAAACTGGGCATTTGAAAAAATGTCCACCTGTTCTAGTTTTGCAGACTGGCTCTGTGCCAGTGAAGACCTTTACTAACTAGCAGGGCCTATTCTGAGTGTTATGATCAGCTCAGAATAAGGTTGACAGCTGCCTCAGGTTTCTTCTGAGCATTCATCATGCGTGCATGTATGTGTGTGTGTTGCCCTACATATGTGGCTACTTTTAAATGTCTTAATTTCCTACAGTGTCACCCCAATTTCAATTCAGGGCTTTAGGTGTTCTATTATAATCCTTCACATGTAATCTCTTCCCAAGGCAGCTCTGGGTCTGTAATCCCACTGTAGCCTGAGACCTGAGAAGACATGACAATTTTCTCCACCTGAATTCCAAGTCAAACAAAACAGAGACCAGTCCCTCAGGTAGCCCCAGACAGGTTAAAATGTTGCAAATAAAGTATCTTATGCTCCCTCCATTTTGATGGAACAAACTGGGTAGTGGCTGCTCCTTCCTTCAGACTATGATGTATCATGCAACAGAAGAGAGGTTCTGGGCCAGGAGTAAGTGAAAAACACAAGATTTTCTACCATTTTAAATGTGTCTTTCAAAAAAATGGACATTGTGCTTGATTGCTGTCCATTTTAATTATATTTGAGAGGTCCTATAAAGTTATTTTAATGTGTATCTGGTTTTGTTTTGTTTTTGATGTTTCCATGGAGCAAAGAGAGTCTAAAATTTTCTAGCCTGACATCTTGCTAATATCACTCCACCATCTTACTAGTATCACTCCACCACAGCCCCATTTATCCCAGTGCTGGCTGATGGTTTCAAACCATTGTGAACACAAGCTTCAGGGCTCTATCATGATTTGCCAGCAGGAATCAAAATAAGATGTGTCAAAATTAGATTCGTGAACAATATTACAGTCAATGTACATACACCTGTAACTATGTCCACGTGAAAGGACCTATATTCATGTAATTAAAAACTGTATAAAACATTATTAGGTTTTTATTTTGCAGAAGCATGGGTCAGCAATTCTGAAACTACTCCCTGTGAATTCTATGACTGATGAAATAATAAATATAATGTAGATAATGGGAGCCAGGAATCTGTCAAGCGAAAAAAGCTACAAATATAGGAAAGTGAGAGCAAATGACAGAATGAAACCAAGGGTGTAAGACTGAAATTAGAGGTTTCACTGGGAACTTGTGGGTTTTAATATACATAGATAACTATAGAAATGGATATAGATGCGTTTGCAGGTATATGTAAGTGCATTTATGAATATACACATGTATGCATATGTCTGCGTATGCATACATCTATTTTCTAGCTCTCTCCATTGAAAAGACCTAAAATCAATGATACTCCCAGGATCAACAATTAAACCTTGGTTTATTAATACAATTCTCCATTAGAGAAAAGACTCCTTAGAGAAACAGCTAATTGCATGGCTGGAACAGGGAAAACATAAAGTTAGCCTGGAACTTCTTAACATGTCAAAAAGTGAGGAAGTTTTCAAAGAATGATGGGACATGACAAAAGGACAAGAAACAACTTTAAGGGACCCCTACAGGCCAATGGCTGGAACAAGTTTATCATCCTCCCCATTCCCCCAAAAAAGATGGTTAAAGGATTATAACGTATTAAATAAAGAGCCTATGAATTCACAGTGATATAAGAAAGGAAATGAAGAAATATGAGGTGGAGGAGGGAAAGCTTCTCATTTCAGTGTAATTCCAACTAATAAATGAAGAAGGAATGAGGGAATTATTCTCCAATGATGGAATCAGAAAAATCACCATTGAACAACCATCATAATAATAGATTCAAGCAAGAAACAACATGGATACTAAAACTAATGTGTAAAAATTTAAAGAGTAACAGAACATTTATGTCATCTCAAAGTATATTCCTATAAGGAACTTATTAGTTACAAAGGGTAAGATAGTAATTACAGAGTGGAGAAATCTGAGAGGCACTAACCTTGATCAAGCAGTCAAAGTTGACAGAGCCAGAATGGGACAATGGACAAGGGCAGTCTCCTGATAGCGTACAGTGACAAGAATTCTGCATCTCTTTTGTGGTATTCCTAAGGCATAAATAATATACACTTAATCATGATGAAACATCAGTCATATCCAAATATTAGTCAAATCCTAATAGTCAGTGTTAAGAAATACAAATAAATGATCTGGAAGAACACTAGGAATCTGTGGCTTCTTCTTTAAAGGTAGATTTGTCAGTGTGTTTATATTGTTTCAGCCACATTCAGCCGGACTGCAGGGGTTCTGGTGCAGAGTAGGCAGAGGTTTTTATTTAATGAGGATTGTATTTAACCAAAGTCAGAGAACAGCAACAAAGTTACAGGTGTAAAGTCAGTATAAAGATATGTGTGTATTATGTATACACACACATAGATATATGTATATATACACATAGACACACACAAATTGGTAATTAAAGTGTGTATACAAGTGAGTGAGTATAAAGACCAACTATGGAGTTTAAGAAGGAAGGAGAGGAAGGCCCAGCTAAGGGGCTAGGGAATGGAGGTAGGATCAGTGCATTGGAGATGCAGGGGAGAAGTAGAAAGACTTTTAAAATCTGGGTAGGACTGAATGAAACTAAAAAACAATAGATCTAAATATGCACATCAAAAGTTAGGCCTATAACTTCCAACAGTGGTTAAAGCCAGTAAGATTATGAATGATGAGTGATGCCTATTTTCTTTTCCTTTAAATGTACTTTCTAATTTTTCAATTAGCATATATTCCTCTAGGAACTTAAAGAAACAAACGCTTATTAAAGAAAAGTTTTCAATAGAAATAAATACGAGGCCATCTGCAAGTGACCTGAAAAGACTATCATCTTTGGGATTCATGGGTATAAGATGCTTACAGTCAGGGTCATTCTCCAGGGCTTTGTTTATCCAGTTAACGAAAGCCACTTTTTCGTCCTCTGAATACGAATGCTGTGTGCCCTCACTGGAAATAGACGAAGTTCCTCCAATAGCAGTAATCCCTTCCTTCTTGTTAATTATCTTTCCGAATGCTCTGCTGATATCTTTGCTTTTTAATTCTTGCATTAGTGACACAAACTCTTCAAAACTGATTTTGCCATCTTTGTTGCTGTCAGCAACGGACAGAATTTTCTCCACAATCTCTCGCACCTTGTAGCCAGGCAGAGGAAAGGCTTGCTTCCTTAAACAGGTCTTGAAGTTCATAGTCACGGACACACCCACTATTATCAATATCTATTTTATTAAATGCTTCTTGCAGTTCTTCAAGTTCCTCCCGAGAAATGGTAGTGGTGTTGTTTTCCATCTTTGGACAGAAAAGACGATCTTCAGGTCTTTGCATCTGCCGCGGCCGCCGTTCTGCTCTCGAGAGCGCAGCTTCCACTGAAGATCCAAGCCAGGAAGGAGGTATTTTCAGAGTTTTGTGCTAGATGATAGCAGACCCTCATTCGGGAATAGTTACCTCTTCCGGCAAACTCTCACTGAACAAGGCAGAGAGCAGGACACGGGGAGCCAGCAGGCCGGCTGGGGATGCTGCCTCAAATTCCCTGACGTCTCTGGGCCAACGTTGGCCCACGCAGAATCCAGAACGCGCAGTTTCCTCAAGGCTAGGGCCCCGGGCTGAGGCACACTGCATCGCCAGGATGAAGGCCGCCGTGAACGCCGACGCCGCTCCGCCCGGGGATGGAAAGCACTCTTGGCAGAGCCAGAATTCTCAGCGACCCGGCGGCAGGTCTACCGCTTTCTCGGCTCCCGAAGGGGCCGTGGCGTTCCTTGCCGGTCCCAGCCTCAAACTGCCCGCCTCTGGAGAATGCACTGGCCCCTCGGAGACCCGGGGGTTGGAATTCCTTTAAGGGGTTGGGCCCAGACCCCCTCGACCCTTTCCGCGGTCCGCCCCGGGCAACCAGAACTACATCTCCCGGAATCCCGCGCGCCTGAAGCTGCTTCCGCCCCGACCGGACTTTCCTGCCGCGGATTGGCTGTGGCTGCGCCGGCTCCGACGAACGCTCCCGGTTCCCGAAGTGGTGCCCGGCCCGTTGGTTTGCAAACCGGAGCTTGTCGTGCAGGTTTGGCCTAAAGAGGGTGACGGGGACTAGACGTGTCCCGGAGTGGATGTGTGCGTGCGTTGTGGCGATGTGGTGTTGCGTGACTCCGTGTGAGAAAGTGGGACAGGAAAGGGGCCGGGAGCCGTGCAGTGGGACTGGGGGCGCGCGTTCTGTCGCCTGCTGCGGGCCCGATTACGTCGAGGCTCGGGGCCTGCCCGCCTGCCCGCGGGGTAAGGGACGACGCGAGCCTGGTCTGGAGCAGACGCTGAGGACGGGTGAAGAGGTTGTCTGTCGCTTGTGGGTTGGGACTTGCAGATGTGACTTGCAGGTGTCATGACCACTCACCTGCATGGTGAAGAGGGCTAGTCCTTTGGTTCTGTGCTGCTGAGGATTGATGTTGGGACCTTATCCCTCTGGAATACACATTGGGATCTGTATGTCTTCTGTTTTAAACGTTCTAAGTGTCTGTAACACCTTTAGAACATGTTCAGGTGTTCCCAGAGTTGTTTTTTTGTTTGTTTTTTTTTTTTTTTTAATATTGCTGATTTGCTATGCTTGCATTTTTATTACATTTTAAATACTTCTTAAGTATATACTGCAGAAAACTGTACGTATTCAACTCGATGAATTTTTACAAAGCGAATACACCTAGGTGATGAGCACTGAGACTGAGATGGAGGAAGTCATTGCCAGCATTCCAGTTTTCTTGCACCCCTGCCCAGTCACTTTCCTGCCAAGAGTGACCGCTATTCTAGCATCATGGACTTCCCTTTATTTTGAATTTATCCAAATAGAATCACACCATGTGTACTTTTTTCTGTCTGGCTTCTTTTCTTTAGGTTTTATGTTTGTGACATTCATATTATCGCTTGTTGTTATATGTTATAGTTCCTCCATTCTTTCTGCTGTGTAGTATTCAGTTGTGCGACTATAACAATTCGACTGTAATACACATTGGCGCAGGTTTCAGTTTTCATTAATGCTACTTCTATGAACATTTCGGTAGGTGCCTTTTGGGATGGATAAATGTGCATTTCTCTTGGATTTATACATCGGTGTGAAGTTCCTGGGCCTAGGGAGTAAATATACTGCTCTTGGTACATGTTGCTAAACAGTTTTTCAAAGTAGTTGCACTGATGCATTCCCACCATCAGTGTATGAGTTCCAGTTCCCTCACATCCCCACTAATCCCCCCTACTTGGTACTTACCATGTGTTCATTTTAGCTCTTCTGGTGGATGTACATTTTCCTGATGTCTAATAAAGTTGAGTACATTTTCTGATGTTTATTGGTCACTTAGGTATTCTCTTTTGTGAAGTGTCTGCTCAAATTTTGCCAATTTTTTCTGTTGGGTACATTTTTGTGGTTGATTTCAGAAGATTTACAAATATATGTCCTAGAGATGACTCCTTTGTTGGATATGTTTATTGTAATAAATATCTCTTTCCAGTCTGTGGGTTGCCTTAGTGGTAACTTTTGATGAACAGAAGCTCTTAATTTTAATATAGTCAATTTTACTAATTTTGTTTTATAGTTAGTGCTTTTTGTGGCCTGTTTAAAAAAATCTTCTCTGATTCCAAGGCCATCAATATATACTTTATGGTTTTTTCTAAAATTGTTGTTGTTGTTGTTGATGATGTAGAATCTTACTCTGTCACCCAAACTAGAGTGCAGTGGTGCAATGACAGATCACTGCAGTCTTGAACTCCCAGGATCAAGTGATGCTCTCACCTCAGCCTTCCAAGAAGTTCAGACTATAGGCACGCCCCACCACACCTGGCTATTTTTTTTCACCCCTGTAGAGATGAGGTTTCCCTATATCACTCTGGCTGGTCTCCAGCTTCTGGGCTCAAGCAATCCTCCCACCTTGGCTTCCCAAAGTTTGGGAATTCGAGGCATGAGCCATGCCCAGCTAAAAGTTGTAGTATTTTGCCTTTCACCTTCATGACTGCAACTATCTGGAACTGATGTTTAGATCTTGATTTTTTTTTTCCATATGCATAGCCAATTGACCCAGCACTATTTATTGAAAAGATATCCTTTCTCCACTGGACTAAAATTTTACCTTTGTCATTTGTCAAGTGATTATGTATGTATGAATCTATTTCTTTAGTCTCTATTTGATATGAATTGATCTAGCTGATCTGTTAATCAATTTTTCTGTCCTTATGCCAAAATTATCATACCTCAGTAACAGTAACTTTATAATAGATGTCTATGCTTGGTAATGTGAATTCTTTAACTTTGTTCTCCTTCTTCGAGATTACCTTGACTATTGGTCCTTTGCACTTCTATATGAATTTTAGAACCATTTTGACAATTTCCTTTAAAAATTACTAGATTTTTCAAAAATTAAGATTGTGTTGAATTTATAATGTTTTGGAGAGAATAGCCATCTTCTAATTTATGAATATGGTGTATCTATAACTTCATTTTTTTTTCAGTAATATTATGCCATTTTAAATCTAGAGGTCTTAAACATCTTTTGGTTGATTTATTCCTGTTATCTCTTTGTATTTTATTGAAAGTAGCATCATTTAAAAGTTTTCATTTTCTGTTTGGTTGTTCTTGATTTATAGAAATCAAACTGACTTTTTTTAAGTTGGCCTGTATCCAGCAACCCTGATTTTAAAAAATCACTCAATTCTGGTAGTCTATCTGTAGATTCTTTCTACTTTTTTTATATGCATGTTATCTGTGAATTATTTCAAATTATGCAGATTTGTTCATGAGAGAGATTGGTCTGTAATTTTCCATTCTTCCTTGTGGAGATTTTATATCAAGGTTATGCTGACTTTACAAAAAACAGTGTTTAAAATTGGTGTCATTTCTTCCTTAAGTGTTTGGGGGACATCATTGGTGACGTCATCTGGGCCTTCATTTTCCTTGTCGGACTTTTTATTTTATTTTACCTTCACTATGGTGCTGATATGGGAATTTTTAATGTCAGATTTCTTTAAATACACAATAGACTATATATATTTTCTACCCATTATGTCAGCTTTGGTGAGTTGTGTTTATCGAGAAACTTGAACATTTTACCTAATTTTTACATTTGTTTTATTAAAGTTCATAATATTCTCTTATTTTCTTTTTCATATTTGTAGGATATATAGGCACACCTTTCTAATTCCTGCTGTATTCTATGTGTTTCTTTGTTGCTGTTACTGGTTGGCCTTACTGGTGGTTTCTCAGTGTTATTTAATATGTAAGAGGAGCAGCTTTTGCTTTTATTGATTTTTCTCTCGTGTCCTTGCTTTCTGTTTCACGAATATCTTCCTTTATCTTTTTTTTTTTTTTTTACTAGGTTTGATTTGCTGTTCTGGAGTCTTGAGATGGGAGCTTGAACACTTAATTTTCAGCCTTTCTTTTCTATAGGAAAGCTATAAATTTTCTTTAGTCTGCTTTTCTTTTTTTTTTTTTTTTTTTTTTTTTTTTTTGAGATGGAGTTTCACTCTTGTTACCCAGGCTGGAGTGCAATGGCACGATCTCGGCTCACCGCAACCTCCGCCTCCTGGGTTCAGGCAATTCTTCTGCCTCAGCCTCCTGAGTAGCTGGGACTACAGGCACGCACCACCATGCCCAGCTAATTTTTGTATTTTAGTAGAGACAGGGTTTCACTATGTTGACCAAGATGGTCTCGATCTCTTGACCTCGTGATCCACCCGCCTCGGCCTCCCAAAGTGCTGGGATTACAGGCGTGAGCCACCGCGCCCGGCTTAGTCTGCTTTTCTTTAAGGGTTTAGGTTTTTCTTTGTATACTGCTTTCAGCACACCCACAAGTTTGAATGTCACACATCATCATTTTTCAATAATGATGTATTCTAATTTCTATTTTGATTTCTTCTTTGCTGCTTGGATATTTTCTTTTTTTCCCGTTTATTAATATTATTATTATTATTATTATTATTTATACTTTAGGCTCTGGGGTACATGTGCAGATCATGCAGGATTGCTGCATAGCAAGGTGGTTTGCTGCCTCTATCCCCCCATCACCTATTTCTGGCATTTCTCCCCATGTTATTCCTCCCCAACCTCCCTACCACCTGCTGTTCCTCCCCTGCCCACCCCAACAGACCCCAGTGTGTGATACTCCCCTCCCTATGTCCATGTGTTCTCACTGCTTAACACCTGCCTATGAGTGAGAACATGCTGTATTTGATTTTCTGTTCTTGTGTCAGTTTGCTGAGAACGATGGTTTCCAGATTCATCCACGTCCCTACAAAGAATACGAACTCATCATTTTTTATGGCTGCATAATATTCCATGGTGTATATATGCCACGTTTTCCCTGTCTAGTCTATCATCAGTGGGCATTTGGGTTGGCTCCAGGTCTTTGCTATTGTAAACTGTGCTGCAGTGAACATACGTGTGCATGTGTCTTTATAATTGAATGATTTATAATCCTTTGGGTATATACCCAGTAATGAGATTGCTGGGTCAAATGGAGTTTCTATTTCTAGGTCCTTGAGGAATCGCCACACTGTCTTCCACAATGGTTGAACTAATTTACACTCTCACCAACAGTGTAAAAGTGTTCCTATTTCTCCACATCCTCTCCAGCATCTGTTGTCTCCAGATTTTTTTTTTTTGAGACGGAGTTTCGCTCTTGTTACCCAGGCTGGAGTGCAATGGCACGATCTCGGCTCACCGCAACCTCCGCCTCCTGGGTTCAAGCAATTCTCCTGCCCCAGCCTCCTGAGTAGCTGGGATTACAGGCACGCACCACCATGCCCAGCTAATTTTTTGTATTTTTAGTAGAGACGGGGTTTCACCATGCCGACCAGGATGGTCTCGATCTCTCGACCTTGTGATCCACCCGCCTCGGCCCCCCAAAGTGCTGGG